CAGACGAGACGGACATGTCCATCAAGGGTTCGCACGGTTCGGACGATCGGACCACCACAGCCGAGAACACCGTACTTGCCAGAACTTCACATATCCTGCTGAGGGAGCCGGGTGCTCAATATTGGTTGATAAATACCCTAATACCACGACGAAAGCCAGAAGGAATTGCCATCCAGAGCCGAAGCAATACGAGGGGGCCTGATGCGTGCTATATGATATGGTGTTCTTTACAGTGTTTTTTTTCGGTCACCGGTCATGTTCCTTAGTCAGCCTTAATCGGAATGTCAGACTGTGAGAACTGCGGAAGCATTAAACCTCACAACCATTTCTGAGATATTGTATTTGGGGGTTGACGGATCGTATGCTCATGCAACCAAGGGATGATAAAGAAGCTCATCGCTTCATTGAGCCGGTAATCTGATTTGCTGAAGGAAATATTACAAGTACCTAACGTTCAGTACGAGATGCATGATAAGGTTATAGTTATAGTTTATCAGCCAAGCACACTTGGGCTTCTTGTGAGGTTCCTTTCTCGCAAAGGACGGAGTGTTCAGATGTTGGAGAGCCAAATTTTACTCTCTTCCGAGCATTTTTTGACGACCTGAAAATGTACTTTCTCATTGACTGGTACTCTCCTGGCCATCAGGAAAGAGGCGAAAAACAGCTGTTGGAAGGATTCACTCGTTGTGCCCGGCTTCGGTCCCCTAAGTCTCCTTTCTTGCAACTCCATCTCGGTCCGTGCTCCTGGAGATCAGCTTTTCAAGCTGGTGCTGGACATGGGCAACACAAAATGAGAGTATCTTCGGGTTGTACATGACCACAGAGCGCCCAGGTGGTTTCGCTGCTGCCGAGGCGAGACTGTTTCAATGGATGTTCCATGCCAGCGATAAGTTAGCTGGCATGTAGCAGACGGGCCTCCAGACAGCGAATCACGTTGAACCTATATCGCGCCGGATTTTTTTTTCGAGAGACAGGCTGCGATCAGCCGGTTTAGCAAGTAAGACGGCCTGTCGATGTGACTTGTCGGTACGCTGAGCAGCGCTTCGGGACGCGTGTTGGGTGCCAAGTGGATCATGTCGGCTGCCTGTGCAGGTCCTCTTGAACCCCGTCCTGGAACCTGCCGTCGACGGCCCACGAAGCCTGTCGAACAAGAGTTGCACAAATTTCAGTTTCTCCAGTTGAGGGTGTGCAGTTTGGATTTTGCCGAGCTCCGGATGTCGCTTCATGTTGCGAGGTGTGGGATATGCTGTGCCTCTCCGTCGAGTCCGGACCAAGAGTTTTGGACAATCAGTGGGGGACGTATCCAAGAGTTGCCTGGCAGCATTCCAGAGGGCCCAGTTAACTGTTCAGCTAGCCGACAGTGCTGAGATTGCTTACGAAAGCCTAGCAGATGCGATGCCAAGTGTTTTGCCCTGTCTCTTCTGTCAACGGTCAACTTGCCATCTTGGCTTTCAGCACGTCGTGCCATGTGGATGTCTGGCATCTTTCGAGTCAACCTGGTGATCGTGATCCACACTGCGAGCGGCAGGCGTTGGAACACTTCCTGTCATTACGTTTTGATGTTTTGTAATCCTGGGTCCTGGGTCTGCATACATTGCTGGGCAGGCTCGGCTCACAAGATGTCAAGGTTGGTGGACTGGTGCTGAGCCCCACGCAGCCACTCTTTGCCAACAGCTCAGCACCTTGAATGCATTCGTGTCGAGCGGCATAGGAATCGCGAGGCGTCCATGTGCAACATGTTCCAATCCTGGGACCTCCAATGTAGCAACTCCCGACCTGCGGCAGATCTTTGAAGCTCTGGGGCCTGAGGTGCGCGTCACAAGCGGAGCTTGCGGTCCAGGTACCGTTCCGGGCTCTGTGTATCCAGTCGCAGAAGGGCGGGAAATCCACAAGGCAACTTCGAAAGTCTGGCGCTGGTCCGATACATGGCAGCACAGAGTTCCTCTCTCTGTATCCGAAGGCGTAAAGCGTTGCGAATCCGAGCGTCAGCAACCGCACGGCAATTGCTGGCACACAACCTCTCGTTTCGGTTGAGCCGTTGGCCAGTTGGGAAGTTTTGGGGTAAGCGGGTACTCGGGAACACAAAGCAAAGTCTCGTCGCTACACCGAACCCGCTAAAAAACTGCAAGGCCCGAGCTGGCGGCTGATGGCATGATGGCTTTGCCTTGCCGTTGGCCATGCGTGCGTGGTTGACATTAGGTTCATGTTTCGGTTTGGAAAGAAACATGACCTCGACGGGTCTGTGAAAGGGCCCTCGGAGGCCGGGGGGGCTGGTCCAACAAAGACAGCAAGACTTAGCCCCCAAAGGATTGCAGTCAGTCCAGTCGTCTTTGTCCAAGAGCCGAAGACCTCGGCATGATTTTGTCAGTTCTATGTGTGGATTAGAGGTTTTCCTTGATGTGTGCCAAGCCGAGCCCCCATCCGTTTTCCCATATCCTGACGAAGGACACTGGGCTGCAGCACTGTGCGGACGGAGTCGAGACTTGCGCGTATCGCTCCGACTACGGCCCAGGCATATTAGTGGTGTCAGCTTTCTTGGATTCAGGGAGCTGTGCCGCTATGAGTCCAAAGCCCTGTCTGTCCTGGAAAGCCTCACGAAGATCTGTGCGAGATGGCAGGTGCTTACTGGTGTCCCCTCCCACCTGGCGGATCGGCTGCCGACAAGCTGCTTTGCCGTTGTGAGTGCCCTGGCTTTCACGGTCCGTTCGAGGTGTGAAGGAAAGGGACTGATCAGATTGGCATGCTGATTTGACGTGTTTCCATTGAGACACCTGTTCGCTCTAGATGTCGTCGACGCCACGTTCTGACAGTGTTCTGAGGCAATGCCCATGTCAACGTGGCATGGGTGGCTTCATGTGCAGCAATTGCCTTGAAGACTCTGCATGTGGCACTGGACGTTGCTCAACGTCGCGGGTTGTGACTGGGGCGCAGGACCTGGCATTCGTGCGTTCGCTGACAAGTTAGACTTGTGTAAGGGGTTTCGTTTTGGCTCAGCCGCAGCGGCGGTGCTCAAACCTCCAGTACTGATAGGTTCCGACGTGTTTGTGCCGTGCAGGACAAGACTTTCACCTGCAACTTCTCGGACTCTTTTAGGAGATCTCCCTCGTACAAGCTGTTTTGGCCGGATGGCTGGGCAAGCCCACAAATATTAATTCAGTACGTGAGAGCATCCAGGAGTGCAAGCCTGGATTTCATTAGCAACATGTGCAGCGACCATCAGCCGATTCTGATGCAATGCAAGTGTGGGAACTGCGAGACAAGGTCTGACGAAGTCAGCCCTTCTGGAGCGAGGATCTTTGGATGCACGCCTCTTTCCAGCCCTTGTGTGAAGTGCGCAGAATGCCACTGTGACTTCCCAGAGGACTCTTATTTGACAGACACGACAAGGACCGTGATCAGTCAGATTGCCGCCGGTCTGGTCTTCAGTTGCGAAGATGGACCGGGGCAGACGGGCAGTTGCCAAAGCATCTTTGAAGATCTGCCCATTAAGATGCAACTAGACTGCTCAACTGGAGCATGCATTAATTAACAGGCCCACGTCTTTCAGTGCACAGAGTCGGCAGAACTTGGCATGGGAAAGCTCTCCGGCTGTTCTCCGAAGTCCTAGACCAAGTCCCAAGCATCTCCAACAAAGCCGGAAAGCTTTTGTCTCGCTGAGCTCTGACCGCCCGAGAGACTCGGGGCAGTGGTGGGAACGGACGAGGTTTCTGCAAGATGGCATGGGTCTCTCGCGTGGGGCCAGGAGATGTATCAGCTTAGCATTGGTCCTCTTGAACTTCTGCCAAAGACTTGCGGCTCGTCCACTTCTTTTTTATTCCTGCCCTCCCCAACCATAGGTGTCACGTGACGCGCAGGAAGGACCCAGGCACGCTAACATTCACAAAGCAGGCACGTGATGCAACCACTGTGCAAGAGGATTTCAACATTTCCAATTAGAGTTTGCAGAGGTACAGAGAGGCAGAGAGAGACAGAGAGATAGCGTCGGTGCCGAAAGTGCCGAAAGAACTGCACCCGGACCCGTCATGGAAAAGCGGGGTCAGAACTTGGTCTACCGAGATTGGACTGCGATTGAAGGTGCTGCACAGCCGGTTGGAGAGTGAGTTCACTTTCTCTGCTACCATTCCGAAGCCTTAATTGGCCCAGGTTCAGACTGAGAGCGCTTCCTTGCCAACTTCATGAGAACCTGCTGGGCCCGACTTGAGCACAATGCTTGTGGAGATCCTTCTGCTGATGAGGAATTCTGGTCGCTTGCAGACTTGCAGATGTTTGCAGCACTGTTTGCACATGTGTACGTAGCTCAGCAACGTTTGACAGATCCTCTTTGCGGCATGGTTTGGGGGCTAGTGCGTGGCATGTGGGGGCACACATGCTTCTGCACCAGGGTCACTTGAGCGTGTGGATGCACGAAACGTGCAGACACATCCGACACCACGCACGTGGTCGCTGATGCTGGGGTGAAAACAAAAGAGCGAAGGCTTGTCAAGTTCCCATCCGCTCGGTGCGACAGGCAACAGTGCTTTAGGAGCTTCCAGTGCAGGGATAGACAGAAGCTTAGGCTCAGGACCTAGCGACGCTATCCCGAACTCGTCGGAAGGAAGGAAGGACCTAGACTCTAGACTGAGTCCCCAAGCAGGGGGCGGGGGCCATACCCCTGAGCACAAGCAAGTGGACCTAGTTTCAACCAGGGTTCAAGGCATTCGGAATCATTAGGAGCTGTCGTGCGTCAACAGCAACAAGCACAATTCATTGCTGTCCTAGGCCCTTATCCCCCGGCTCTCAGCATCCCAGGTTTAGGGCTAAGGGTTTACAGGCCCTTCTCTCTACTGCAGCATCTTCATGGTCGTCTTGCATGAGCTGCCAAAAATTGCAGGAGGAAAGCCTGCTCGTCAAGAGCTGTCCAAGTTGGCTAGCACTGCTCCTTGTTTGTTTGCTGTCCGGTCCTTCTTCGTCTTGAGTGCACTAGCAGCAAGCGGCGTTGTGTGCAGCGCAAGTGCGCCGAGGATCCACTTGGTTTCGACGGCCGCATCCGTCGAGCTCGAGAGGGTGGGCTCTCAGACGGGAAACCAGCTGAAGCTACATGCTCACAGTCGCCAGAATCCGGCAGGTTATCCGTAGGCCCCGGTTCACCGCTTGCTTAGCCCAACGGTCACTGCGAATTGCGACCCATCTGCAGACCATTTGGCTCCAGGGGGGACAGCAAGCAGCAAACCTTTAGAGCTGCCCAGCGCCCAGCGCGTCTTGTTTGCAAGAGCATGTTGGGTACCTACCCGGGTTCCCGTTGCCGTATATTGGCGAGGATGGGAAACATTGCCGGCTGTTGCCGAACACTGATGTGCAGCCTGCAGATCTTGGCCGCTTGTCTGCATGCAAGTACTGTAGAAGTCATGACAGCCGCATCATGCCGCAGTTGAGTTTTTGCAATCTTCACATCGACACGTGTGAGTGCCATCAGATCAAGAGGAAGCGAATCCTAATGACTGCGAACTTGCATTTGCCATACTTTTGCTGCTTCCAAAGGGATGGAGAAAGGAGGGTGCTTATGTTGCTGACCAAACAGCGCTGTTTTGAAACCTTCGGCCCTCGTCATGCTCAGTCGGATGAATCAATGATGACGACAGGGGATTTGGCGATGTTACAAACCACCGATCTTTAGGGTGGCATTCGGTCCCGAGCTCCAGACTGAGGCTGGTAGCTCAAGGCGGACACGTGACGAATGCTCCAATGGTGCCGTGAACCAGCACCGCTTCCTCGATGCTGCCAAGGAGGGGTTTCGCTCGGCCTCGTCATGCCTCATGCATGCCTGGGCCTGGGGGCAAGCAAGATCAAGCATGGTGCTTGAAACTTATTGAGCTCAAAAGTCAGCGCTTCGATGCAACATCAACATGTCTTGCAGCTAGCAGGCTGGCAACTTCTCACAAGTGCGGAACATGCTCACCGAATCCCCCGAGCTGATCAACTGCCAGCCTGGTGGTAGGTGGTCGGCACTGCACCACGCCGCCTACAAGGCGAGATGCAGACGCTTGAATGGCATGAGCCGGACAAGTCAAGTCAAACATCACCGTAACATCACCCTCCCAAGAATTCCTGATGCCCGTCGTACAGCCCGGCAGGCCCCAACATACTGCATTCACAGGTGCCTGACAGAGTAAACATTGAGCAGTAAGTCTTCACACAACTCCTCACTTCTTTTGCTGTAAATGCGCAATACCACGGCGATGGCTTGGGCGAGTGGCAGTATCAGGGTACATTTCGAGCCTTTGGCGGGACAGGTGCAGCAGCTTGCGCAGAGGAAAAGCGAAACATGCGGCACGGGGCACGGGGTGCGAGAGCATGCTCACAGGGGTGCTAAGGCAGTGTGGTGCAGGTTTTCGAGAATACCGAAAGTGTCAGATCGGCAACGACCCTCGGCACTCGGTCCGAGTCCAGTTTTCGATTGAATACGGTTTGATGAAATGAACAGCTGCACTACCCTGCATTATCGAAGCCGGCGGCAATCATGACGCATGACGGGTCTGGCGCCACGATTCTCAAGGTGACTAGCGAGGTGATGATGATGATGACATGTAGATGTAGAAACAATGTAGAAAGTGATTGGATGCACAAAAAACACACACTGGAGAGTGAACACATAGCAAGAGTGCGGATAAGTGTGCGGAAAGACAACCACTCGGACGCCGAACAGCAACACCTTTCGGCTTGCTGAGGGCCTTTGTTGATAACAGGCCCCACCAAGCTAAACAGGTGGTGTTTCTACCGATGGCTTGCAGGGTGCAGGAGATTGCACAGGACAGGCTGTAGATGCGGAAGGGCGTTGCGCCTCTTCACCAGTCCAATTCGACATTTGAGAATCTCGGAAGTACACCTTCGAAAGACCTCCCATTCGGAATCCAACATCGGTTTCGATAGGTCTACGAAGGTTTGAAGTCAGACTGAAGCATGAGATAATACAAACTCGGGCGGTGCTTTGGTGGTGGTGGTCGGGCGACGATGCCGATGGAATGTTTGGGTTGGAGAATGTGTATGCCCTCCATTTCGATGGGACCTGCTGCGACATGCTGAAGTTAAGTTGCGATATTGTCACCGCTACCACACCACAATCGGGACTTGTCATTGTCAGAAGCGCAGGGCAATTTGTCAGCCGTGCAGAACTTGCTCGAGACTCTCTGCTGCATTAAAAGCGTGCATGTGAAAGGATGACACCGACCATCCGTCAAAGCACGTCGCGAAAGAGTAAGGTAGGGCTGGTCTAAAATGATTTCATGCCATGGCCAGGCTTGGTGCCTCGACAACGTTGCGTACACGAGATGGCTTTACACCGGCAGAGGTAGCCGCCTCGAATGTTTTCGAATATCTGCTCTATATCTCCCTTCAGGCCAGGCCGGAGCGGGTCGCTGCACCGAAGTTTGGTCACCACCCGTGTGGAGGCGACAGCAGCTGACGAGGTCAAGACGAAAACCTCCACCAGCCACTTGCCGTCATACTGGCATTGCTTCATGGCACTTCGAGAATAGCTGTGCTGCAGCGTGTATCATTTCTTGTTTCTTGGGGCGTCTGCTGCAAGGTTGCGCCACGGAGGAAGTTCTCACTTCTCTTGCCTTGTGGAGATTCTCACCTGATACCATTCCCAGAGGCTTACATTGAGTTTCATAATTCTCTTGTACGGTCAAGCTTGTCAATACATCTGCACTCGAATACTCGTTCCACAGGTCTCTGTGAGGGCAGTGATGGCCTTCAGTGCCACATTTGTCTTGATGACTTTGCGGTTGGAGATGAACTCCGGACGCTCCCTTGTCGCCTCTTGTCTTCAAATGCTCTGACAGCTATAGTGGTGATAATGCTGATGACGCGAGTTACGATGTCAAGTTCTTTGCAGCGAGCTTTTATGATGCTCGGTGTCAATCTACGACAGATGAGGGAATCGTCTGCTGGCAGCTTGTATAGTCTCAGGCCATTCCTTTCACGCTCGCTGCGTCGATGAGTGGCTGCAAGAGAAGAGCCGATGCTGTGACTTGCCGAATGACGCAGAATGCAGCACAGTGCAAGTCCTTGAGACAAAGCCTGAGCCTTGCAGCGTGCAGTTCAACTAGAAACTTGCAGTGTGCTTTATGCAAGGTGTTTGACAGAACAAGTTCACCCCCGAGCTGTGCGAACAATCGCCTGCTCGTTTAAGGTCCGACGTGTCGGAGAGACATCACGGATTGCGCCGAGATTGCCGGAAGTCAAGACCAGTGAGGCGATCGGGGCTCTTCAGGGTTGCATGGACAATTACAGAGCATGCTTTTGACAGGGGCAACGTCGAACACACACACAAGAGGCGCGAGGACCGGCGATCGCTCGCAAGCTCGCGGAATCGCACGCGCTCGGGCCGGCCGGCTTCCCTGCAGTCATGCGCCTGGCCACCGCCGCTGCCGCGCACCCCTTGACTGGCCGTAGCCGACACCCGGGTGCAGAGGCAGACAACGACAGAGACGGAGAGGCAGAGAGGGAGGAGAGAGCGAGACTTCGCTCAAGTACTGCAGCCAGGGCCACAGCCAAGTAGGGAAAATTTGTACGGATACTTGAAGCATAACGCTGGTACGTTCAGAGGCGGCCCTGGAAGTTTCACAGGACCAGCAGGTCATTTACTGCAGGCATGATTCTAGAAATGGCCCACGGTCTTCAGGGGACATTGCAGCAATTGCTGAACATGGAAGGGGTAATGTTTCTGAAGGCCTGCTTCAGCATTGTTGAGCACAATGTTGCTAAAGCCGCTGGATCTGACAACATCATGAACGTCTGGTGTTTGGAACGGGAGCAAAACAGAACAAGTTGGCAAAGGCACCTGTTGCATGGCTTGCGTTGAAAAACTGGCAAGTATGTAAGGCCACCGAAACCACCTGTTGGGAGTTTGTGCGTATGTGCAAAACTCAGTGCGGCCAACTTCATCAACCACTGTTGTTGCTTTTGTCGAGTTTGGCACACCAGAGCTGAACTGGGCTTAGGGTTGATGGGTCCGTGTTCCTGCTTCGGGTTGCGGCGGTTTTTGGTATGGGTGTGGCTATGTCAATGTGAGTTTCCGTCGCTGTGTGTGCGTTGATGTGGACAGGGGGCGGCATCATCTTGGCTGTGTTACAGTGTTGGTACCCTTCACTTCGGTTCCTCTGGATTTTTGCGAGAGCAGAATGCTGTCGCGCGAAACAGGATTTTCGGGCCCATGTAAAGATTGCTTTCCTTGGTCTTTTTTCTGTGACTGGCAACAGGTACGTGTCTGGTTTTGCTCGGGCTTGGCGATGCACTGTTCAGACTTGGTAAAGCAGCTTCAGTTCTTGACACAGCAAGTCATGATGCTTCACCAGATTGCATCGTGGTCGCTGTGTGTCTGCGCGCGCATGGTAGCAATCTGGGGCAGAACATCGCTGAAAAGGTTGGGCATGTGCGCCATGCAATCCTGTAGGTGTGGCACCAAAAAGCGATAATCAAGCTCATGACTTACTTGCAGCTGTTTGCTTTTTATCGTTCGCACGCATCAGGCAGTTCACGGAAAATGCACCTGTGCATGTTTTGACGTGACATCCGACAGGCTTCGTGGTGAGGTATGTCGACTTGGACAAAGTTCTCTGAGCTGCTGTTGGCTCCTGCCAGAACATCGAGTCTTCCCTTTTGAACCGTTGGATGGAAAGCTCGTCAGGTTCCGCGCAACTTTAAACGTTCCAGTTTGCACAGCAAGCAGAGTGCTGCTATCAGGTATCACGGGGGGCTTCCGCACTAGTGCAAGGCGAAGCATTGCAACAACTGAGAACTCCTTCAGCTTCAACATGTCAGCCATCTGCTGGCTCGTTAGTCTTCCAAAGCGAAGTGCAGTTCTGGCTTCCCGGGCGCGCAAACACCAAAATCAGTCTTCCCGGGTAGGTTCCTTGGCAAATATCTCGAAACGTAGTGAAATTCAATTGAATATGTTCGTCCCATTGTAAGAGAAGGTTATCAGCATGGCCTCCACGCAACGATGACATGCACAAATCGAGAAGAGGACCAAGCTAAAACATGCCTCAGAGTACCACCAGAGTACATCAGAGCAGTGGGGGCAGCAGAGGCTGTGGACTTGTGAAGTCTAGGGGAAGGGTGCTAATCACATTTCGGCATTTGGACTGCGCAGTTACATGGGGATTCCGAACGTAGTGAAGTCTGATGTCAATGAGAGCGACAATGCGAAGCAATCCTGCAGGGGCCACTCCCATGCTTATGTGATCAGGATTGGGAGGTGGCGATGCGCGCCCATTGAAGCAGATGCATATATTTTCGAGGGGGGTGCTGGCAGACTGCAGAAGCTATACTCAGTTGTCACGATCACTCACGATCTCAAACCTGCTTCTTTTTCGTAGTTTCAGTTAGGTCACACGGCTTCACGCGAGACATTGCAGTTTGCCAAGACAGCAGCGGCCTAGCAGCTTGTGACCACGAGCAAAGTCTTTGTTCGGCCCTTGGGCCCCTCCTCGACTATCGCAACTGTACAGGCCGCATGCCGAAGGAGTCTGGTGCAACACGCGCAATACGCAGTAGGTTTTGCAGTGCTGAAGGTGAGGCAGGCCGCCACACATGCGGAAGCTTTATTGAATTCGGACTTGACCGACCGTGACAGACACGGGAAGAGGGTTAGTTTGAATTTCCAATGCGGTCGAGGCAATGCATGCTTAGAAGTCTTGTGCCCCGCACAGGCAGGTCTCTGAGGCCGCTTCGGCCGTTGACATTGTGTCATTCTGCATCAAAGGATGGCTGTAGGATAGCGCTACTTGAGACTCAGAAGGTGGTCGGAAAAGATGCCTAGCCGACCAGGTCTCGAAGCCGCACCAATCACTGTAGGATGCACGTCCGTAGATTCTAGTAGGTTCCAGTTGCATCAAACAGGTGGGGGCCAGCTTTGACCTCGCCAAGGACGGGTTGAGGCGCAGTTAACCAAGTGCCACCAAAATCTCAAAGAGTTCTAATCGTAAGGCCAGGTGTCACAGGCTTCAGAAGACTTCCTCTCGTGAAGGTCCGGTGAAGTTGGGCAGAAAGGCGGCCGAGACCTGAGCAGTGATCCCGTATGTGGAGTGAGCCCCGGCCACCTTCAGTGGTCTGAACACCACCGTTGTTTCACATGTGGAGGCAGCGGGACCGAAGCCAGGGACGCTGCGTTCCTGCCTCATTTGTCGGCCACGTTGCAGAGCCCAGTGCCTGAAACACGGTTCTTGTCTGCGTCGGGCATTCCACACTGACAGGCCTGTACGAGCAAGTGACCAAGTACTGTAACATAACAGGCTTCCCGCGACGTCACTCGAAGGACCGAGTATTGATTGGGCTTAGGGTTTAGGGTGTTCGGCTGGCCGGGCACGCACTAATCAAGCCTGTGTCAAAAAAGGTCACGAACGATTCGGGTTGAGGCGCCTTTTCCGGGCCAGTGCGGTGGGGTTGCTTCGGGGAGTGGCCGTGGATGAAGCATCCGTGCAAGGTCTGCTGGACTGCCCACAGTCTTCGCGCTTCTCGAGTCGGGCGCTCATGTCACGTGTTTCCAGAAAGTATCGCCCTCACCCCGAGGCTTTTGGTGCATGACTTCATGGAGTCCGCCCGCTGCCTTAGATTGGAGTCGACACGCTGCCCAGGCTGTCTTGTGGCACTCCGACCTCAGGTCCCTCAGGCCTCGATCCCGCGTTTGACGACCTCCATCGGGGCGCTGGCACGCTTTCAGGGGCCCTGGCCCCAAAAAGAGAAGAACCCGTCTCTGCCCATTCCCAAAAAAGCACAAAGCAAAGGCTGGGGGTGAACAGTTCCTTAACAGCGGTGGGCCAGGAGCTTATTGCCTCGTTTTGGGGAGACACTGCGCGTCGCTAGTGGAATCGATCACCGCCTTGTAGGTTTTCTGTGGAACGTGGCAGATGCTTTGGCCAGATATCACTGCGCCCCGAGCCTAAACATACACTCAGGCGGTTTCGGCTGCGATGGGTTTGCCTTGCACGCCGTTCTCTGGCTCCAGGATACGTTTTAATTCGGGAGAGGCCTCCAACTGAGTCCCGCTCCCTTTCAGCATGGCTGCGCTGGAGAACATCGCCCCGCCACGAGGCATCACTCAGACTCTCAGTGGAAGGCCGAGGCTCCCGCAGGCATCCGCAGGCTCCCCCGCGATTCGGCGTCTTTCGAGACGTTGACGTCGACGCCTGCTCAGACCGAATGCTCTTCGGCAGAAGTGTCGATCAGCCAAGGGAGACAACCAGGCAGACCAAGTCAGTTGTGGTCAAGTCTGTGTTTGAACATGAGCTGAGTGCATGGCAGTTGCAGGCCAAAAAGGGTCCTTTTCGAGATTTTGTTGTGACAGCCTTCTGATTCTGCGGTCTTGGCCGTGGCGACTTCCTGCAATTCCTCGGTGCCTCCGCTGCGGCGGCCATCTTCACCGTGCGATCTTTGCGCCCGCGTATCCGAAAGCACACGCACTGCAGCCTAGTGGAGGCTTTCATTCCCGAAATCGATATTTCTAGACAGTTTGCTGTGAGCACAGATACAAGTTGTTGACCATGCCTTGTGGCAAGGACCGCATGCAGATTAGTCACTTCACTTCCACTGGATCTTGTTGTTGTGCTTGCAGCCTCTCCTGGTGAACACAAGCTTCGACTCCAGCCGAGCGCTGGTCCTTAGTCGAAGTTGACTCTAAACTTAAACCCTTATGTGTTTCGGAAGAGCACGGTGCTGTGCCTCCGAGACACGGCCGTTCCGCAGCAGCAGCCACGGGAACACGACACCTTTATCGTTGTTCTGCTTTTTGTTTGTGATCAGCTGGCTGACGTGCCCAAGTCGCGGCATGCAGCTGGCACCACGGATTGTCGCCAGGCTCGCAGCGCGTGTAGCTCGAAGCATTTCGACATGCTCCCAGCACAAAGCTCGCAGAGACACACGCGGAGAAGCTCAGCAGAGAACCAGAGTCACTCGATGCAAGTCTCAAGCTTCGTGCGAGGGATGTCCCTTCAACCATGCCAAGAGGCTTTTCCTGCTGCATGGTTTTGCCAGCAGTGCCACTTTCAGCCTCCCTTGGCAAACACAGCATAACTCGTCATGAATACGAAAGCGGCCACATGTTCAGCATTACATGCCTTGGATTGATTTGATGTGTGCCCTTGGGCTCAAATGGTCTTCCAGGATGTTCCAATCTTAGTTGGATCTTGTTGTTTCTGATGGTCCTGCATGAGGCAGTCTTAGATGAAACCTTAGATTGCGAAAGTTCGCGATCCGTGCAGCCGTATCACGAGCTGAACGGAAAGACTTCTTTCCGCCAACATGTTCTTGCCGCTGTGTTTCAGCGTCCCAACGGCTACATTGGCATTGTGACCGTGCTACTTTGCTTCAGTTGCTACTGGTTTCTCCAGGATCCCCCTCCTGAAATCAATCAGCCACCCGATGCAGTTCCGGTGGTCTTGGTTGATGGGCAGCAGTACAGGGCCGTCCAATACTTGGGCATGAACCTGTTTACAGCTCCCGGCACGGAAGTAGATGGCTGTTTCGATTATAATGCCGAGATGGACCAGTGCTATCTGGGAAGCAGCACTGTTCGTGAAGATGTCGCCAGGCGAATGGAAATCATGCTTGAGGCCATTGATAGAGCGTTCGAATCTGAACACTGGGACCGCCGCCCGACTACTCTGAAGATTGTCCTTCTGCCTGAGTTCTTCTGGCGAGGAAAGCAGGGGGCATACCGGATAAAGAGGGGGCTCGAGAATGTGACTCACCCTGCAGCCCATTGGATCTTTCATCAATTTGCACACGAACGCTTCAAACATTGGCTGATCGTTGATGGAACCGTGGTCATGGCCCAAGCTGCGGATGAGAGGTACGTCCGTATGTCCGAGAGGCCAGATGAAAATATCAGCTATTTCAATTTCGCCCCAATACATGTTGGGGGGACCAACTTGACATACTTGAAATTCAAGAGGTTCATCAGTGGAATTGATTTTATACGCGCTCGCCCAGAAGGATCACGCATGGTCCCGGCACCACCACGCAAGTCTCGTGAATTCTGCAGGAAGCATCCGCACTCGAATGGCTGCATATATGGACGGATGCCGGAGGCACTCCTGCACGAGCTCGGATTCGGTAGTGATATAGAACTTCCGCGTGGTTTGCTGTCCGTTGGGGGCTTGAAGATTGGGTTGGAGATTTGCCTAGACCACGCAATGGGGGATCTCTGCAACGGCAGCATTGCAGGTGACGAGCATGTGGACGTGCAACTAGTTGTCTCTGCGGGTATGAACATCGCGTCCGGGCCGGTTTGTACCTTGGCAGGAGGTCCGGTGTTCCTTGCCGATGGCTTCGCAAGGACGGAGGTCAGCTTAAACCCATTTGGAAAAGGCCGAGTGGCAGCCCCAACTCCGGACCACCGCCGCCGTTTCAACGTTGGCATCGACTACGGTGCTGATGTCATGGCCGCGGTCTTAGTCAAGCTTTCGCCGCGCACCTTCTGCGTGCATATTGCTGGAAGAAGTCCTGACTTGCACTTTTCCGGTGGACAGGTGTCGATGCAGCAGTGGATAGCTGACACGATCTTCAGCATCACCGGAACGGGCTTCGGCACACGGTTTCCTGGACTGTCGACTCTCCCGGGCGGCGGCTCCAGCTCTGGCAGTACCGGCTTGCCCTTCAAGCAGAGACTTGGAGAATCGTATTCAGTGTTCAGAACAGCTCCGGTAGCATAGCCTTTTCTGATTAACGGAGCCAGCATGGGTTCTCGCAGATGTTTTGTGCGAGCGTGTGCCACCCTCGCTCGCCAAAGTTAAGCAGTTCATTTGTGTCACGCGCGTGTAAGACTTAAATGCAAGGATTCCGGCTTTGGGCGATGATTGGAAGGCCCAGCTCCAAGGGTTCTACCACACAGGCAGCTACAAGGAAGCTGAGCGCATGCAAGCTTCTCTCGAAAAGGCCTTATACAGGTTTGAGGATTCAGAGCGCATTTCGATCTCAAGCGACATATCAAAGCCAAAGATCTATCCAACAATGGACATCTACGGCCCGTTTCAGGTACCTGGCCACTGAAATATAGCACCACGCTGTCCAAAGACGACATCGGGTTGAGAGTGTCTTTCACACACGTCGAGCACAGGGGTGCCTGGCGAGGCGAGTCCGCAAAATAGTTTTCGAAGCGTACGCCACCGAATCAAGTGTAGTTATCCAGCATGCCCACCTTCGTTGTACGTAAGGCCGAGGGCTCTGCCTCCTTCGAAGAACTGTGGGCCACCATCTTAGCGGGAGGCTTTCCACAGTCGTGCTGCTACAATAGCCTCACAGGGCAAGATTGTGGGAACGAATTCGCCCGAGGTGCAAATCTTCATGCAGCTGCGAGCACTTGCTTCAGACAGCAGGCATTGAGTGCCCTGAAGAGCGAAGACACAAGCTACTTCAGCATCCGAAATCATGACAACAGCTGGCCGCACACGCAGAACTGCAAAGGCGACCCACCGCATCTTTTGCTTGGATTGCAGGCCTGAGGTGCGGAACTGCGCGGTGCGAGTCTGAGCATGGAGAGCCGTGCTGTGGCTTGCAACACGTATTCAGCTTTTGCGTGTGCGGCTGACTGCGAGATGCGATGATGACAACAGTGTCGGCTCAAAGTTGCAGCCCAATGTCCAAAGCCTGCCTCTACTCTTGCTGCGACATCGAAATCCAGACGGCGAGGCGGTCCGCCCGTGGTCATTGCGAAGGGAGGGAGAGAAAGAGAGAAGGAGTTGTAGGGCGGCCTGCTCCCCTGCATCATATCCCACGCCTCTTCTAGCCTTCAGAGAGAAAGAGGGAGATAGCATCGGTGAGCCGAGGTCAACATGCGTTTTGGACAGCGAACAGCAACTCAAATGATCGAATGTGTGGCCAACAACGATGCAGGCCTCTAGACGGCTAGAGAGTTTCGGCTGTTGGCCGCTGCCTTCAGTTTGCGAGAAACCGTATTGCACGACAGTGGTGCGCCTGTGTTCCCGCCGGTGAAGGAATGGAAACTGTGGACTTGACCAAGAATGCTTCCTTTCAAATGAGCCTTGCCTCGACTAGGTATCGGCAAATCATAGCGAAGGATGTGAGTCATCATGTATGAGGATGACTTTCTCCCGTTCTTGCCTTGCACGGAAAACGTGTAGAGTCGCTTGTCGGTCAAGATGGCTGCGAAGATTTAGGAAGGCGCTGGAGAATACGCGAAGCCTGGCGGAAGCACTGAAGAAGAACACCGTCATCAGGTCCGACCGTCTGGCCGTGCCTTCTCAGAGCTTCCGTGATGAAGTGAGTTTTGACTCTGTCAGGACCCTGGTTCTGCGCGAGTGTGAAATTTCCGATGCTGGGGCAGAGGCGGACGTGACGTCGGATTCGGTGGGATTGCGAGTCTTTCGCGCCCTTTTGCTACGACAGTGTCACCTACATGGCTTCGCTGACAAGGCCTGCGAAAGCGTAGGCCCACGCACTGTTTTTGCACGGAGGCTTTGGGTGCTGCACTCGCGGTGAACCAGGGCATTGAAGAGTTGGATTTGCAGCATCTCGCCTGCCAAGTCCATCATTCGTGTTTGCTCAATGGGGAGAATGTTCGTTCGACACCTAGCAGAGCTGGCAATAATTAGCCAAGTGTCATCCTCTTTTCCTTCGGTACTGACTCAATGCCCAAAACCGCACGACACGAATCACTCCACTGAAGCATACGGTGTTTGCGCCATTTTTCGGAAGCGAACTCGGTGGTGCAAGATGCATGGCTGCATGGCGGGTGCACACAGGGCAAGTCCAACAGAGCCCCGAAGCTAAAGAGACGCACGAATTGAATTTCGGGGCAGGCCCGAGAGCTCCTGCCTTGGTGATGCTTCGTGGAATTTCGTGGATTTGGGCCTGAGGGCCCCTGATTGTGCACCATGCACGGACCCTGTGACGGCGAGCACGCACTCACGATTGCAGACCAGTCATCCTCTACTTAGACGGATGCTGTTGCTGTTTGTGCTAGGTTGCATCTTTTTTGGCTTGACAAGTTTTCTTCTTCTTGTGGCCAATATGAAACAGCAGCTCTTTTGGGGTATGTTTTGGGCGGCCACTTTGCCAGCAGGTACGTCTTCACGGGCTTGCCCGGGAGACTGGCTTGCCGGGGGGGTCTTCGTTGACCACCGCCCCCCGGGAGCCCCGGTGGTCCCCTGCTTGTTATTCGTTAGATCTTACGTCTTAAATCCTTTGGGTGCACACATACACACACACACACACACACACATCAAATCATCGAACTCGAGCGTGCAGGCCACCGACCAGGTTTCGCTCGACGTAGACAAAGCATGGAGAGCACAGGTCCGTGAACATGCAGAGCTTTGCACCCCAGTTCGTGCCAGCTGCACTGAGCGTGTACCAGGGTGGAAAAACCTAGCGGCCCTAGCCTTTCATTCAGTCATCTTGCGAAATCGCTTTGTCTGCTGAGGCAGAATCATCTCAGTACCGGCGGGGCGATTTCTATAGCCAAGGGCCTGGCGACCAACCAGACCTTGAAAACGCTGAACCTCATGAACCAGAATCACAAAATCAGCGAGGAGGCTCTGGAAAGTTTCATCACCATGTTCCAGACAAATCTTGCGCTGACCAAGCTCATGTGGAAAGTTGATTCTCGAAGAACTTGGGAAGTTTCCAAGCTCATCACGCGAAATGTGGAGATTGGCCGTCGCAAGGCAGCAGGGGCCTCCATTCAGGACCTGCTTCCTGCCAAACTCCGTAAAGACTCGGATGCGGGCGGATCTCACTCGCAGCCTGTCTCTTCACCATACCCGGCTTCCGCGGTGCCGGAGACAGCACCCAGTCCGGAGATGAAGGCCGATGCTGAGTCTGCCGAGCTGGCCCAGACACCTCCCACGGAGGCCTCAACCGCCAGATCTCCCGAGGAAGACGTGCAGGCGCAAATTTGTCCACGGAATGCTAGAATTTATATCGCATGCGTAGCAAGTGGAAAGACGGCAGGAGACTTCCGCCGCAGTGCCCGCGACAGCCACCGACGCTTCACCTGAGGCTGATTGAACAGAAGCAGGTGGACACCGTGTCAGCAGACCGGTGCAAAATTATGGCTGCATGCTGTGGGCCTACAAAGAGATAAATGCCAGACTGCTAGACCTTCGCAATGTCATACCATTTCAGACACTCCATGTGGCAGTTCATACAGACGTTGCTGCAGCATACGGGCCAGTTTGTACTGCAGCGACAGTTTGTTATGAGTAGACTAAGCAGACCATTGGTGCCATGAGCACGCTGCTTTTGCGGAAGAGGCATCTGCCGGTCTGAGTCAAACACGCTTGCGAGATGAGTTGTGCCTACCAGATGTGTCCAAGCGTAAAATTCTGCATCCTTTGCCGCAAGCCTAGTGTCCTTTACGATGGGTCCTGGCGATCCTTCATGCTGTTGCCATTGCAGGCTTTGCCTGTGAGCTAGAGATATACGTATGCCGCAGCAGTTGCCCGGCCAGTTCCGGCACGCTGCTTCAGCTCTGCGGAAACAAGCTGTCGAAACCAACTGGTGTGGTTCTTCCGATTGCCTCGCTTTCAGCCAGCCACCAGCGATTGCGTTGCGTCGGCTGGATACTGCCAAGATCGCGCATTTCCACTGACGCATTGCGACCTCATCTCACAGTCGGATTCTGTCTGCAGGTAAAGAGCCTGTCGACAGCACTTCTTTCCCACGGCCGCAAGGCAGGCATCAAGTGCGAGCCAGTGGCGCGAGGGGGGATTGACCAACAGGTGGGAACCGAGTGCTATTCGCGGTGCTTGTCGGACATCCTGATGAAGGCTCGGAGACGGGCCATGGACACTTAACAGGTAGCATCACCAAGTATTGCAATGACGCCCTTCGAATAATTAGGAACAGTTAGCAGACTCGATCAGCCATGCAGGAGGCAAAAGTTAGTAGACTCGGTCCTCATGAACATTCTTGCGAAAGCCGGTCCACATGGAGACAATTGGGAAGATTCGGTCAAAATAGAACAGGTGGGGTGACGAGCGAAAGGAGGCTTTCGTAGTCCGCTATCTAGATCCGCGACGTCCTTACCGATTCCTTGGCGAGGTAGTTTGCGGGCTTTTCACATGGCTCCAAAACTCCTCCGTTTGCTTGAGACTGGAGAGGTCCTGGCAGAGATACAGGATGCCGCCCGTGAAGCTCGACAGCGGGGCACGTCCGGGACACCCGAACCAAAATTGAAGCATGTGCTGCCGGGTTAGATGATGTTTCTGAAAACAACACGAAAGTCACTGAAGCAGATCTTCAGGGGTCAAGGACAGTCTTAAAAGATGGTACATCCATGCAGTATGGTAGGCAACATTTGCGAGGTCGAGGACCGACAACCAGCTGATTGTGCATCATTCCCGAGACACGCCGGAGAAGCAGTGGGATGTCGCGAGCCTAGTGCATTGCTCTGGAGATGTCTTGGGCTGTTTGACTGAGCTTGTGAAAACTTGTATTTGGGGCAGTAAGGAGACAGTGTCCCTCGCCTTCGAGGGCGTCCGGCGGGCCTCCCACTCAGCGCGTCTCGGCCTGCGTGCATCTTCGCCAATGAAGTGGTCGAACTCGTGCAAGGTGCTGAACCACTTTTCCGAAGAAGCGGGCCCCGAAGCCTTTGCGTGCCTGACCCAGCAGCTGATGAGATTGATGAGTTTGGCCTCCGCCCGGCAGCTTGCAAGCGGGATGCGCGTTCATCTTGTCACATCATTGACTTGAGGCCGCTAGCCTACGGGATGCTTCTGCACATTCAGGAGAATCCTGTGTTCTGGAAAGGAGCAGGTCGCAGTCTTCTCCCACATTTCAACTGGCCCGAACTCGGAAATTCAAGATTGTCGGGCTCAGATGTGGGCGCAGGAGACAATGCGTGCCCTCACACCTGAGACTACGGCGTCTGCCACAGCCCTATAAAAGCGATGCATGGGGTATCGTGCTAGCTACTTGTAGGGTTGGAGGCTTGGATTGGTTCCGGGCCTTCCTTTGCAAAGCGCGTTCGTGCACAGGTTCGGCTTTCCTTTCCAAACGGTGAGGTTCGAGGGAAGGGAGCGATGAGGATGAGCGGATCCCTGCGCGGGCTTAGTGGATTAAGCCATGCAGCCCGATCGAAGACTGCATGAGACGCCAGTTGTCCTAGCGGGAACTAATATACTTTATATTTCCCGCCATGTCCTAAAAGCAGTAGCAAAGCCATAGTGGTGGTAGTAGTAGTCGTCGTCGTAGTGGTAGTGGCGGTAGCCGTATGTGTGCCAGTACGAGTCGAAGTACTAAGCGGTACTAGTAGTAGTGGTTGCAGAAGTTAGTAGTACTGCTCGTATTTGGCTTAGTGTGTCTTGTGTATTTTTTGTTGTTGTGTGGTGCTTTGTGGTTGTTATTGTTGGTGTTGTTGGCTCTTCTAGTAGTAGTAGTAGTAGTAGTAGTAGTAGTAGTAGTAGTAGTAGTCGAATTAGTTCAGTTTAGTCTGCTATTCTTGTTGGTCGTGGTGTTGCTGCTGCTGGTGCTGGTGCTGATTCTGCTGGTGGTGGTGGTGGTGGTGCTGCTGCTGCTGCTGGTGTTGGTGCTGGTTGTGGTGTTGTTGCAGCAGTCGTGGCCGCAGTCAAGCAGAGGTAGTGGTGTTCCGGCCTTGCAGGGTCTTTTTGGCTGTTCTGCCGTATACCCTGCTAACAGTCCGGCTTGCCGGCATTCAGACCATGACGAAGCATTTAGTCACAAAGCCCGGTGTGCTCTTCAATCGAAATCTAGCGCTCATCCGCTGTGCCCAGGCTGTGCGAGCTTTGGTGGACTTGATGAGGCCGCAAGTTTCGAAAGATCTGCACCGTGGTCGGTGTTGCCTTGGTGCATGTGGACAGGATCCCCGCCTCTTGCCAGATGTTCCAGGCAGAGTGCTAGCCACATGCGGGTGGGCATCGCCCCCTACCGGCCCGACGACGCTTACGACCTGCGATTAACTATTGCTGCTGCTGCTCCTCCACCTCCTCCGCCCACTACCACGACTATCGCAACGACCACTACCACCACCACTACCACTGCCACCACCACCCCTGCTATTACTGCAACCCCTACTCCAACTCCTGCTGCTGCTCCTCTCCTGCTGCTGCTGCTGCTCTTTCTGCTGTGGCTGCTACCACTACGACAACCACTACCCCTACCACTACCAATGCGGCCTATTCGATGCCCGGTGTCTAGATTCAAAACAGGCCTTGGAGTCGAAGCCAAAAGGGCGATGGAATGTGAACCAACGGCCAAAGCAAACGGCGAAGAGGTACTGTGTGCCAGCTTGTGCGCTAGCTGGTGGCACAGCAGTGGGTCGCAAATTAGTTTCTGGGTCAGTGCAGCGCAACATATCGAGCGGGCCAGCAACAGCGTTAAAGGCAAGCACAGGAAGAGGAAAGACTCCGGCAACACATGCTAAGCAGGGCAAAGGCATGCTCGGCGAACCGCAATGGGCGACGAGGGTATGTGTACCAACGGCCAAGATGCAAATGGCGATGCTGGGTGCCAACATCACAGCGATGAGGCAATTTGTGTAAATGGCAATCAATGGACATGAGGCAAGGGACGCCAACAGCCAAACCGGAAATGGCTATGAGGCAATGTGTGCCAACGGCCAAAACACCAACGGCAATGGCTGTTGCTCATAATCTCGGTTCCTTTAGCACGTTGTGGAGTCCTTGCACTCTGACTGTTTTTAGTATCCTTGCATCCATCCGCTTGCATCCCACATATCCTTTGGGCCCCTGCTTGGAACTGTTTGGGTTTTGTCCCCGTCGTCCTTCTTGCCTAAGTACTTTTCGACTTAGGTTGCGGTCTTCACCCCGCCAAGTGCTACCAGGCTACTGCTTGCTCCCCCGACCGTGCTTTTGGGCATTCTGCCGTGATCTCCAGATATCTCCAGGACCGATGCTAGCCCACACGAAATCCAAGGCAACAGAAATCCAAGCATGGCCTGGTGGCTCCAAGCCAATCGCCACCGGCGACAAAGATATGTACAAGTTTTCTGCCACGATGCCAGTCCACACAGCTCGTATCCAGCAGCGACAAGCATAGCAGCATAGCTTGTCAAGAGCGGCTAGGCCCTAGGGAACTGGATTGCATGTGCTTGCATACACCCGAAGCACCAGTAGAAACCGTCGGTTAGCATTCTGCCACATCACTTGGCTCTTGGGTAGACCTGAATGGCAGGTCACCGCAGCACTGAGGGACTCACATGGTCCGACTCTTCTGACAGGCCCTCCGTGCTTCAAGGTTGCGTGCAGGTAGTCCTGGCCGGAAAGGTGAGACAACAACCTCGGTGTGGGCCCTGTCCTGGAAAGTCTTGTGCGAGGCTAAGCGTGGCACACCATTAGGGGGTCCCATCCTTGCGACCTTGCACGCCGGAAATTCGAGGTGGGGCATGGTCAGCTTTTGCCTTTCTCGCGAAGTTCCGGTGACGCAAGCTCGGCTTAATGTGCCTGCATAGAACCGTTATTTTTCTTTCCAGTACCGATGAAAGTTGAAGCGATTGCAGGAGCTGGTCGTCGAGGCGTTGCGTCCCAAGAGCTGTTGAGAGGCGGTTCCGGACATCTTTCTGTTGCGATGCCTTCGAACGCTGTGACTTGCTCGTCTGGCCATTAAGCCGAGATGGGCGTTGAAGCTGTTAAAACTTGTTCTGCTTGCCTTTTGGTCTTGGTGTGTGACTTGGGGTGCGAGGGTTGAGCAATTGCTACCGTCTTGTCAGCTGAGCTAGCAGCTACAGGTAGCGGTTGTGCGCCGGCGGTTTCCTCATCTCCAAGTGCCCGAGGTTCACTTCTTCACTCAGCGGATTGCGGTCAAGACCTTGGCTGCAATCGGTGATTCACCTGCAGCCTGACACACCAGTTTGCAGAGATCAAGTACAGTACCAGCTGACAGGTTCTCACATGGCCAGATGTTCACCACCGCCGCAGTCCAAACATACCTTGTATTTCAGACTTCAGACATTTTCTGCCTGCGGTATTATGAATTAAACCGTTCCGCGAATGCAAGGCTCAGCACCTGATATTGCTGCAGCTCTCCTGTGTCTTGGTTACCGCACCGTCAGGCCCATGGGCAATGCTCGGTAAGTCGTCGGTCCAGTAGGCATTCTGTGTAGGCGACCGCTGATCTCCACTTTGCCCAAGGTCTTTCTATTTGCACTCCACCCCATGGGAGGCTCTGCACCGGCATAGGGCATAGCATCGGATTGTCGACCTGAGAGCCGCTGCAGGTCGAAGCCGAGGACACAGGCCCCTTCCTCGGCTCCCGCTCCCAGGAACTTACCTTGCGACAATATCTTTTTTGGCGCAGATTCTGCAAGGTGCTAATGGCAGTCAAGAACAGAGCAGCCAGAAGTGGCTTTCGGAGCTCTTGTGCGAGGTGCCTCTGCACCTTGAAGCGTTTTAACGCGTCACACCCCTGCACCCGGCACCAGGTTCCGCTAGGCATGGGAGAATCTGACCGAGAAGTGTTTGAGTTTGTTGAGGCGAGGCCGGCGTATTGGCTGCATTTGGCGACAACATTTGTTGCTTTTTGAACCCAGTTCGAGGCCAGTTCATCTGCACTGTGGGCACGTGACCGGCAACAAGGCACGAGATGCGGTTGCGAAACTGCTATCACCATGGTTGCTTGTCCCTTACAACTGCGCGTCGAAGCTGTATATTTTGGCACAAGCCTTCGTTGCATGCGGCTCCTTCCGCGCAGGCCATGGGCCACTGTCCCGGCTCATTGATGCTTGCATTTCCTCATAACGGCCAGGCCTCATGGACAGCCAGCACAAGCACGATGCACTTCAGGACTGGGATGGCCGGGCAGACTGAGTTGTCAAAAGCTTTCGTGGCTTGAGGCAGGAGAGCTTAAAAGTCAGAGTGATTTGGCAACAGGCGCTGCGGTTCTGTCAAGTTTCCATGGCAGACCTCACCGCTCAAGCTGCACATCCTTCCTCTGCGGCGCTGCCGGCGGATTCTTCTGTCCAATTTCACACGATCGAGGAGTTTCTAGAATCTCATCTCCATCCGGAACGGCATTGAAAGCAATCGTCCAGGGCAGCAATGTCCGTTTTCTCCTTACCGGAGAGTGCGTTGAAAGATTTACTCCGCCCAGACTGTCACTAGTCACGCAAGTGCTGATCCGTGGTCTCACGTGCATCTGCGTATCGTATCTATTGACATGATCCTGGCAGTTCGTATCGCGTTTCCCACGCGCGAATCCGACTAATCCATGTTATGTTTCCCTCCGATTTCTGGATTCTCAGAAGTTGGTTGCAAAAAGTCACAGAAGGCATGCGAATTCACAGGAATGTCATCTGAGACCCTGCCAAGCGACTCGCTCAGCAATGCAGGACTCAAAACAAGTCTTCGTGGGGAAAACTGATTTTGACTTCGGCGGCAAATCTTGACGATGATTTTTCAATGGGAACGGTAAAGCACCCACACAAACTTCCTCGCCGGTTCTGGGAAACATCTTCAGTTTTGGATGTTCGTGTTGTGGGTATATCTCGCAGCAGAGTTCCCCGATGGAACTTTGTGAGGAAGTTTGGAAGTTTAGAGGCAGCTTGGTGGAAGTCAAGTGCCATTGGAAAGCAGCAAGGCGTGGGCCGGAGGCTTTGACGCTCGCGAAATCAGGGACCGAAAACCAGTCCCTCACGGGTAGGCCTGAACTAGATGCAACTAGAAAAAGATATCGATGCGTAGGGACACGCACACACACACACACATGCGTGTGCTGATACATGGATACTCGGCGAGTACACACAACCGATCTTATGCGTGCTTCTCACACGCACACACAAGATAACAGACAGGCAGGCAGGCTTACAGTCGTAACTGCAGTTTCCATAGCTTCAAAGTGATGCATGAAAGATTGAGATTTCAGGGTTTCAGGGTTTCAGCACGTGCGTTGTTTGGGCCGGAGTCGTGGTGTCGGTTGAAGATGTTGGAGCTGGATTTCATACGACATGCTGGAGTCGCAGGTCTTAGTCCCTTTAGCTCGCGGACCAGAAGGCGGTCTGAGCTAATCAGCCAAGAAATGATTCAGGATCAGAAAGGAAGGTCCGGAGGCCGCTGTTTCTGTTACCAGAGGCTGTCCCCCTGTTCCGGTGTCGTTCGTATTACGCTGGTCGCCTGAGCCTGGCCGCGCGTGTAGGTTACAGTGTGCGAGATCGGTCGCTCCGTTACTACCTAAAGCGGTTCCCGTTACTCCCCGCACCGGGTGGAAGTTTCCCCGAACCCTCGTTTGAATTTTGATTTTGGTTTGCAAATTTTCACATCAGAGAACATAGTCATACTGACTTTTCCAGTTTACTTCCTTTTGCTACCCTAGGAGATTCTAAGGGTTCGAACTCGAACTTAAATTTGTTTACCCACTATGCTCACGTAGCCGCACGAGCATCCGGAGCGTCAAAGCATGCTGGAATTCACTGCGACGGAAGGATAGACCATTCAGGAATGATTGAGGAAGTAGCTTTCTTTCGGGAAGACTTAGGGGCAACTTTGTCACTGAGGCGTAGCACAAAACACCAAATGGCATGAGGAAGGCTGAAGCGGCGCAGGCATGTTAAACCACAGTTGCTACCCAACCCTAGAGTCTTAAGTGTATTCAGCCCAGTGACAGCCTCCGCCGTACAGCCATGGAGTTTCAGAAAATGC